TGCGAACAAGGTGCATAAAAAACGTTTGTTTTCTTTGTGCCCTTGCGGAGATCTACTACTTTTCTCGGGAAGAAACACAGTGATCTCTGCCCAAGCGTGAATCAGCCCTTAGTATTTAGTGCATTATGTTAAGGGAGCCCATTTATTTAGAAACTTTTTGGTTAAGTCAGTAGATCAGTTTTACCGCTTCTATTGAGACATAGCATCAGTTCCTACTTGCAGTAAGTTGCTAGCATATGAAAAGCCTTAGTACTTACAGCTGAACTCCACCCTTACCTTCCATCTTACAGAGAATGTCACAGGATCTGGGAATGGAGGTGGCAGAGCTACCTGTCTTGCCTGTCTCCCATTCAGAGATCCCGTGCTATTTCTAGAAGCTGTAGTACAAATTCTATGAATGGATATGGCACTGCAAACTGCATCGTCATGCTCTCTTGATGACAGTTCTTGACAGTCCCTTTGTATTAGCTCCTGCCATACCCAAAGATTACGGTGGTGGAGGTGGGGTAGGCAGGTGGGAGGAGGATTTCCCCTTAGGCCTCAAGAACACTGAGCATTTGCTCAACTCCTCTGAATGCCTTTTCTAAAAGTAAAAGTCGCGTATTGCATGTTCGTTTATGTGCATTTTCGCATATGTGCATTAACCTATTGACCAGCATATTCATTTATTCTGACCAATAGAATGCATTAATGCTCAAACATGCATAAACAGGTCTAGAGTTTATGCACATTCTCTGTGTATATTTTTTGCCCAAATGCTTCTCTGCTGAACATACTGGTAATGTTTTTTTTCTGCCTGTAAACACTCCTTTTCTAATATGCCTCTAAATCCTACAGTGGATATAAACAGTTTACACACCCCTGTTAAAATGTATGGTTTCTGTGATGTAAAAAAATGAAAGATAAATCATTTCAGAACTTTTTCCACCTTTAATTTAACCTATAAACTGTACAACTCAGTTGAACAACAAACTGAAAGGTTTTAGGAGGAGGGAAGTAAAAATAAAAAACTAAAATAATATGGTTGCATAAGTGTGCACACCCTTAATCTAATACTTTGTTGAAGTACCTTTTAATTTTATTCCAGCACTCAGTCTTTTTGGGTATGAGTCTATCAGCATGGACACATCTTGACTTGGCCATATTTGCCCACTCTTCCTTGCAAAAATACTCCAAACCTGTCAGATTGTGAGGGCATCTCCTGTGCACAGCCCCCTTCAGATCACCCCACAGATTTTTGATCGGATTCAGGCCTGGGCTCTGGCTGGACCAATCCAAAACTTAATCTTCTTCTGGTGAAGCCATTCCTTTGTTGATTTGGATGTATGCTTTGGGTCGTTGTCATGCTGAAAGATGAAGTTCCTCTTCATGTTCAGCTTTCTAGCAGAAGCCTGAAGGTTTTGTGCCGATATTGACTTGGCTAAGGCTTCAGTTCCAGCTGAAGGAAAACAGCCCAAAGCATGATGCTGCCACCACCATGCTTCACTGTGGGTATGGTGTTCTTTTGGTGATGTGCAGTGTTGTTTATGTACCAAACATATCTTTTGTAATTAGGGCCAAAACGTTCAGCCTTGGTTTCATCAGACCTAACACATTTTCCCACATGCTTCTGGGAGACTTCAGATGTGTTTTTGCAAAATGCAGCCGAGCTTGGATGTATTTCTTCATAAGAAAAGTCTTCCATCTTGCCACTCTACCCCATAGCCGAGACATATGAAGAATACAGAAGATTGTTGTCACATGTACCACACAGCCAGTACTTGCCAGATATTCCTGCATCTCCCTTAATGTTGCTGTAGGCCTCTTGGCAGCCTCCCAGACCAGTTTTCTTCTCGTCTTTTCATCAATTTTGGAGGGATGTCCAGTTCTTGGTAGTGTCACTGTTGCGCCACATTTTCTACACTTGATGACTGTCTTCACTGTGTTCCATGGTACATCTAATGCCTTGGAAATTCTTTTGTACCCTTCTCCTGACTGATACCTTTTAACAATGATACTTTGGAAGCTCTCTGCGGACCATGGCTTTTGCTGTAGGATGCAACTACAGTAAGAAATTGTCAGGAAAGACCTACTAGAATAGCTGAAATTTATTTGGGGTTAATCAGAGGCACTTTAAATGATGGCAGGTGTGTACTGACTCCTATTTAACATGATTTTTAATGTGATTGCTTAATTCTGAACACGGCTACATCTCCAGTTATAAGAGGGTGTGCACACTTATGCAACCATATTATTTTAGTTTTTTATGTTTACTTCCCCCCCTAAAAGATTTCAGTTTGTTTTTCAGTTGAGTAGTACAGTTTGTAGGTGGAAACAGTTCTGAAATGATTTATCTTTGTCTCATTTTTTTACATCACAGAAACCTGACATTTTAACAGGGGTGTGTAGACTTTTAAATCCACATAGGCTAACATAGAGTTACATTTACAGGCAGAAAAAAAATCAAACAGCGTTTTCTAGGTCCAGTGTGCATTAGGCCTAAAAGCAGAAGAATCAGTACAAGGAACACATCATATCCCTTGTGACTGACTGGCACTGTTAGGCGACACTGATAGGCAGCACTGACAATCACTGATAGGCGGCACTGATGCACAATGATAGGCGGTACTGACTGGCACTGATAGGCGGCACTGACTGGCACTGATAGGTGGCACTGATTGGCAGCACTGATAGGTGGCACTGACTGGGATTGATTGGTGGCACTGACTGGCACTGATGGGTGACACTGAAAGGCAGCTCAGATGGGCACTGATATGTGGCAATGATTTGGCACTGATGGGCACTGAAATGTGGCAATGATTTGGCACTGATGGGCACTGGCAGGTGGCATGGATGAGCACTGAGAGCTGGCACTGATGGACACTGACAGGTGGCGCTGCTGGGGCTACACAGATCATCAGGGCACACTGATCATCAGTGCTCTGATGATCTGTGTACATGTCCCCTCCGAGGAATGCCGATTACTGGCTCTCCTCTTCTCACGATCTATCAGTGTGACAGCTCGTGGGGAGAGAAATGCTGATAACCGGCATTTCCCTGTTTACATGTGATCAGCTGTGATTGGACACAGCTGATCACATGACCGAGCCGACATCTTCGGCTCTTTCCGTGGATCGGTGATCCGCTGTGTCCGAGGGACACAGTGCACCGCCGATCGCCGCGCGCTCCAGGAGCCGCGCATGCACGGTTAGAATGGGAGGACGTCATATGACATCCTCCCAGAACGAGAGAACCACCTTGCGTCCGTCATATTACTATATGGTGGGCGGGAGGTGGTTAAAGTGGTTGTAAACCATTACCTATATCCAATGATGTGACTAGTCTCTGGTGATACACAAAGGTGAAACAAATCAGCTTACATACGTTTCACCTGTTTACTTGCAGCAATTTGTCCTGTACATCCTTATAAAACTCAGAGCTTAAAAGTATTTTTACAGACTCACAAAGCAGGGAGCAGGGAGCTGCAGTTACACACTGTACAAGAGTTCTGGGAGCTGATTGGAGGGAAGCACATAGAGCTGAGCTGTCAATCACATGCTGTGCCTTCCCCTGTCACCTTTTTAGCTCTTGGTGTCAGAAAAAACGTCAGAAGTGACTCATGCTGATAGCAGAGGAACTAGACAGAAGAAAGAAATTACACTTAGTGCTTTGAAGAGAGGCAAGTAAACACAAAATATAGATTCATTTTTGAGATTTACAACCACTTTAAAACTGAAATCCAGGATAATGAAGGGCATCCTTACAAACTGCTTAAGAAGTAATAGTTTATCATATAATACTGAGCCAACGTGTACATACATAAATGTAATGTACTGTACATGTAAAGGTTTCCTAAAAAAAAAAAAGCTTTAGTACTATTTTAATCTTCTATATTTTGATGAAGTGCAGCTTTAAAATGTATTTATAGACAAAATTTTATTTTTAATTTTTGATAGCGTAGGAAAGGATTAGACCCCCAAGTCAAATCTACTGTTTTAGAAAAACACAGTTGATACTGCTTACTGTATGTGTAATTAAATAGAGAAGGGACTGTGAAGGATTTATAATGAAATATCAGATTTTTTTATTTTGATATATTAATAAATAAATGAGTATTAATATATAGAAAATATACAGTCTAAACACATTAAAATTATATTTTATATATTTACTGTATATAGAGAGATGCAGCTTTCTTAGTCCTAGTTTGTGTTATAAGACGTTTTATCACGATTTACAATACTATGCACCAACATGACCCAGTCCATATGGTACACGATGCTCTGCACTTGGCTTACCTTTTATTGTTACACTGGAAATCTTATGACAGTTAAACAAATACTTTGCAATACTTCAACTTTTGAACTTTTTGCATGAGTTCACTGAGAAGAGTTCAAGAGCAGAGCGTTTGGTATTTTATGTAGAGGGTTATTTTGACACTTTGTTCCTTTTGGCAGGATCTAATAGCACCAATAGTAAGCAGTCACATACCTGTTTTGTTTACTATTTTGCAACAGCCAGGAAGTGAATCGTGGACTGCCGCAAAACTCCCTGATCTCCTAGCTTGATGGAGTGGCAGCACCTACTGCTGCCAACTGCCTATGTCAGCCTCAGGCATCGAGAATTGTACTTTCATTAAACAGGATGGATGGTCATGCTAGTTATATAGGCAAGTAGGTAATCAACCAAAGGTGCTTCTTGTTCACCAAACCTGCTACTTTACATCATACATATTATGGACCCCGTACAGGATTGTATTAGTCTGGTTATGGATAGGAAAGGTCAGTGGAATGTGCCTGACTGATCTGACCCCTTAGGCAATGATGCTGTCCAACATTTACCTAAATAAAAATGGTTGCATTCAGTAGCTGTTGGTACTTAGACCGATGTACAGAGATGTGCTACATACACCTCCTGTACCTCCATACTTGGAATAGTAATTGCACAATCTTTTAAAATCTGCTATCCTAAAGTTCTATTCTCACATATGTCTGCTGGCAGTGCATAGACATTAGAATAGACATGAAGTTCTTTAAAGCGAGTTCCACCTAAAAAAAAAATAAATAAAAGTCAGCAGCTACAAAAAACTGTAGCTGCTGACTTTCAAAATACAGCGCTACAAAAACTGTAGCTGCTGACTTTTAAAATACAGCCACTTACCTGTCCCTTGGTCCAGCAGTGTCCTCACCATGGCTGGTTTCACCAGCCATCTTCTCTCCCTGGCGCTGGCATCTTCAGTGTGGGCACCCGGCTGTGACAGCTTGCGGCTTCACAGCCGGGTGCCCACTGCACATGCGCGAAAAGCGCTGCGCTTTGTGAATGGTCCTGTAGTCTTCTGGGACCTGTCACGTGTCCCAGAAGACCACGGTGAGGGAGGGGGGAGGACAACTTCCAATCGCAGCAGAAGTGGGAGCGGGTACCTGTCAAATTTGGGTATCTGCTCCCCCCACTCCACAAAGGTGCAAATACTTAATGGGGAGTGAGGGACAAAGCATTAAAGTGGAACTTCCCCTTTTGGGTGGAGTTCTGCTTTAAGTTCATCTTTACAGTAGGCCCAGACAAAGTATTAACTCTCTTTTTATATTTTCAGTGTGTACAAAAGCATACAGTATGTAATGGCAGTATTTCATCTTTTATGGTTGTACTAAGGTTTATGTGTGTCTGTGAGACTCTAAAGCTGGCCACAGATGACTCGCCTAGCGGATTCAAACCTCCTTGCATCTCCCCTCTCGCAGTAGCTATGAGCTCATTGATGCTGTGGTCGAGGAGATAATGTGTATGGTTTCGAGAGCTTGCTCCTGTGATGGTGGGGGGGGGAGCAGTAATGCCTGAAAGCATATTATCAATTTCCTAGCAACAACGCAGGACAGGATGATGCCATCTCTGCGAGTTTTTCAGGAAATGACCTACACTTATAGCAAAGGCATTGTCCAACTTCAGTCAGAGCTGCACAGATTGTTTTTATCTACAGATGCCACTTACCCAAAGCATTGTTTTTTAAAGGTGAGCTAACCCTATAAAGCAAAACTACCTATTTTCCCCCCACTTTCTGTCCTTGTGACCATTAAAGACAATAAAAACCTGAAAGGTGGCTTGCTCTTTCCCACTCTACTTTAAAACAGTTATTACTGTCTTTGCCTTTTTTTCATACCTTCTGTCTTAGTAGCCAAACATGTTCTAACTCTTCTCCACTTCCCATTCAAAACTAAAAATATTTTGGCTCGAGTTAGCATTACACACATATGAAAAGGTACATATATTGCTTTGAATAATCTACAATTGTATAGAAAGGGGGGAAATGGTTAAAAAAATACATTCTACTTTCTTATATAGTCAACTCTTTCTATTGAATTGTAATAAAACTGTCTGTACTTTAAACCACTTCAAAACCGAGGCAGTTCTGACTTTTCTTACATACCTTGTTAACATTTTATTTGCTAGAAAATTACTTAGAACCCCCAAACATAATATATTTTTTTTAAAGCAGAGACCTGGGGAATAAACTGGTGATTGTTGAAAATTTTTATGTTGCACAATATCTGCACAGCCATTTTTAAAACACAAATTTTCAGGAAAGAATACACTTTCATGAATTTTAGTGCACAAAAACACAATATAATACCCAATTTGTTGATAAAATATAAAAGATGATGTTACACTGAGTAAATAGATACCTAAATTGTCATGCTTTAAAATTGCGCATGCCTGTGGAATGGCGACAAACGATCGTATAAGCAATTATCCATGGGTTAAGCTTTAAAAGCCTTTAAACCTTGGAGAGGAAAAAGAGAGAAGATTAAAAAGACTGCTTTCTAGGTCGCAGCTTTACCCTGCAATGCCACTGCCATGCCTGCTACTGTATCTTGTGTATGATGTCTAGCCAGTTTGGCTGCTAATAGTGGTAGGCCAATATTAACCATTTCAATACCGTACAATTTTACACCTTCCTGCCCAGGCCATTTTTCAGGTTTCAGCGCTCTCACACTTTGAATGACAATTGCGCGGTCATACAACATTGTACCCAAACTAAAATTTTATCATTTTTTCTTCACACAACTAGAGCTTTCTTTTGGTGGTATTTAATCACCGCTGGGGTTTTTATTTTTTGCTAAATTAACAAAAAAAAGACCAAAAATTTTGAAAAAAACCACATTTTTTCTTTGTTTCTGTTATAAAAGTTTACAAATAAATAATTGTTCTTCATAAATTTAGGCCGAGATGTATTCTGCTACATGTCTTTGGTGAAAATAACCCAAATTAGGATGTATTATTTAGTTTGTAGGAAAGTTATAGAGTTCACAAATTATGGTATAGATCTGAATATTGATCAATCCTGAAGTACTGACAGCCAATCTAATTTCTTGAGGTCCAAAAATGTCAGAATAGTACAGATATCCCCAAATGACCCCTTTTTGCAGAGTAGACAGTCCGACGTACTTCATAAGAGGCATGGAGAGTTTTTTGAAGTTGTATTTTTTTGTCATAATTTTTTGGAAAATGAAAAAATTAAAAAAATTATTTTCACTATTTTTTTTTTACATACTGTCACCAGTGCAGTACAGCGTCATCCTATAACTGGCATGGTGGTGAACAGGGACACTGACTGGTGACAGTATGAAAAAAAAAAATATATATATATTTTTTTAAATTTTTTTAAATTTTTTTATTATATTTAATTTTTTTATTAAATTTTTGTTTTATTTTTTTCAAGATTTTTTTTTCATATTTTACTATGACCAAAGTAGTACAATGTTACCATAGTAACATTGTACTACTTTGGGGAAGTGATCAGTATTTTTTTTTTTTTTTACACAATTTGCTTATAGCAAAGAATTACTTTGCTATAAGCAAGCATTTACCTGAATGAAATCGATTCATTCAGCTTTTCTTTTTTTTTTTTTTTGTGCTTAGCTGTGATTTGGTCACAGCTAATCACATGACATGTGCATGTGATTAGCTGTGACCATTCACAGCTAGGCACTAGTATACAATGGATGGCATCATGAATGAAGCCATCCATTGTATACAACTGTCATGTGACCTGCTGTGATTGGTCACAGCAGGTCACATGGTACCAGCAACGGGAGCCTGTACTCGGATCTGTCATCGGCCGTGTCCGAGGTGCACGGCCGGTGACAGATCGCACTGCTGCGCCGCTCTGCATTAGCGCAAACGTGTATTGAATTGTATTGTTACTGTACTGTCTCGTGTACTGTCTCCCATTATAATGTACAGTGCTGAGCAAACTGTTGGCGCTATAAAAAATCCTGTATAATAATAGTACCAAGAATAGCTGTACAAAATTGTTACTATATTGTTAGGTCAGCAGCTGGGATTTGTTAATGCAGATGATAAAGTACGCCTTCATTTTGCTCATAGTTCATGACACATTGCCAGTCCAGATGAATGTAGACTGTCAAGAAAAAACACCACATATACTGAAATGACCACATAAACAAGGAAATGTTCCTAGTCGTGAATTAAGTTCTTCAGTTAGAGGCCACATAGGTTGGTTATTTATAGAATGATGACATGAAATGTTTGGCAAATCCATTACTTCGTAGCTGGCGTTAGAAACGGTTCCATAAGGATTACTTTGTATATTCACATAGAGTCAGACCTTCCTTTTATATTTAATAGGGTTTTCCACATCCCACTTTTAGTTTGTTTGTGTTAACTTTCCACTGGAGAGGCAGCTCCGTCTCTAGGCTTCTATCGCAAGCAGGAAGAATGATTCACCTTGTCTGCTGGCTTCTGTGTCCTTACAAGAACCAATCATGATATTCACTTCTAGGTACAGGTAAAGACCTTGTGAGACTGTCTTTTTATATTACAAGTTGTGTCCTCACAAATTCAGCTGCTGCTGAAGGAGTATAAGTATTACCATACTCAGTGATGTTATACTTTTAAAAACCCTGACACATCACTCTCAGAAAAAAAATGTCATGCCAGTAGAGCAGCCCTTCACAAACTTTTCAACACAAGGGAACCCTTGAAATAACTTTCTGTCTGAAGGAACCCCTGATAAAAAATCTACAACTCATAATACATTAGTGTGATGATCAGTGGGAAGAATGCTCCTTACATTTGTGGTCATTGGGGAAAATGTACCCCATTACAGATAGCTAAAAAGATCAATGATGTAAGTGGTTACTTATCTGAGAAGCAGCAATTGCTAGGAACCCCTTGCAACCTAAGGAGGAACCCTAGTTGAAGAGAAATCTGCTGTAGAGGGTTTTTGAGAATCAGTCAGGTACCTTCTAATAAATGACCACAAAAAAGGATATGCAAGCAATGAATACGTTTTAAAGTGAACATATCATTAGATACCACACTTCACATGATACAGAAGAGTACAAGTCTACATGAATAAATTCCTGATGTGGTACAATATGCAGCAACATATACAGTTGCGCTGAAACGTTTGCATACCCTGGCAGAAATGATGACATTTTTGGCATTGATATTAAAAGTATGGACCGATCATGCCAAAAAAGTATTTTTTATTTAAGGAGAGTAATCATATGAAGCTATTTATTCACATGCCCTCCAGAAGATGTACCCCCCTTCATGACCATGCCTTTTTTTTTTTTTTTGCAATACAACGCTGCATTATTTAACTGCCAATTGCACGGTCTTGCAATGCTGTACATAAATGAAATTTATGTAATTTTTTTCCCCACAAACAGAGATTTCTTTTGGTGGTATTTGATCACCTCTGCATCTGCTGTTTTTTTCTTTTTTGCGCTATAAACAATTTTGAAAAAACCCTGTAATATTTTTGACTTTTTGTTATAAAACATATCAATAAAAAATAAAATCCCAGTAAGTGTATATTAATAGGTTTGAGTGAAAGTTATATCATCTACAAATGGCAGTACGTATACTGGAATTTATATATTTTTTTAATACTAGAAATAGCAGCGATCTATCAGCAACGTATAGTGGGCATTCTGACACTAACTGGCACTGGGAGGGAACTGACTAACTGCAACTGACATCTCCAGTGACACTAATACAGTGATCAGATTTTTTGTGTGTTGCCTAGGGCAGCACAATACCTAAAGACACCACGGCCTTAGTACAGACTCACAAGGTGACACACACAGGTTAAAAGGCAATTAAAGGTTAATTTCCCACATCTGTGGCTTTTTAAATTACAATTTGTGTCTGTGTATAAATAGTCAATTGAGTTTGTTAGCTCTCACATGGATACACTGAGCATGCTGGATACTTAGTCATTGGGGAGCAGAACTGTCAAAAGACCTGTGTAACAAGGTAATGGTACTTTATAAAGATGGTAGAGGATATAAAAAGATATCCAAAGCTTTGAATATACCAGTCTATA